GACCAGCAGCCCTGGCTCCTTGGGCGCAGGAACAATGCATCCATAATTCACTGAAAACTCCCCTCGGATGACTTTTTCCTGTTGCTGATTGTCTCCGCGTTCCAGGCTGCACAAGCTGCTTTTTCCTCTGGCTAAATTTAAAAGGGCCGGACCCTGGAAACAGTGCACTGGGCTGGCCTCACGGTGAGGGCAAAGGTAGGGAGGCTGGTGGAGGCAGAGCCTGAAGCCAGTGCTTCCCTGACAACACATACACAGGTAGCCGCAGCCTGTCTTTATATTAATCCCCCAAACTACATGCAGAGCCCCGTGGGCCACAACCTTTAGAGTTCAGAGAACCCTACTAGGTCTGTATCTGTGGAGGTCAGAGAGGCCCTTACAGGGCAGGGGGAGCAGGCAGGTCTGGGGGTCCACAGTGCCAGACCCCAGTGGGCACTGGATTCACAGGGTGAAGGAGTTTTCTCTCAGGCAGAACAGAGCAGGGAGAAAATGGGTGGGCAGGAGTGAGGGAGCCCTCATCACTGGGGGGTGTAAGCAGAGGCGGCAGGCCCACTGACAGGAAAGCTGCCACAGGCTGAAGTGCCAGGTGGGAGGCAGGCGGACTTCTAGGGCTTTGTCCTCTACCCAGGTAGACGACAGCACCTTGGAGGTAGCAGCAGGACTGAGACCACAGCCTTGCCCCCTCTGCCCGCGGACCCATGGCTTTTCTTAAGAGGGGGGCCAAATTCTCTGGGCTTGCCTTCCAGCTCTGCTACTGACCTGCTGTGTGACCTTATGCAACTCTTTTCACATCTCTATGCCTCCATGCCCCCATCTTCAAAATGGGATAGCCTTTTGTGTTAAGCATCGTCATCTCTGGAGTCAGATTTAAGTGGGAAAAGTAAAACCCAACGCCTCAGGGACCTGGCTTTGTCACTAAAGGCTGGCCACACGGTTGAGCACATGTTTGGGAGGAGGCACAGTCCTGGGACCCATCCCTCTGTTTATCCCCTGCTGGCTCTTTCGGGAAGGAGGGGAGGGGCAGCCCAGCATCCATCATCACTGTGTAACCTGGAATCAGCCACCCATTTCCCAGGCGACCTCACCAGCCTCATCACCATCAGCGTTGGTCCCCACATCACAGGGCTGCTGAGGCAGAGGGGTAGTGGAGACGGTGCAGAGAGCAGGGAGCCGTGACGTGGATAGCCCTGGGAGACAGAAAGCGAAACTGGGTGCTGCTCTGAAGCCTCAAGCACCGAGGGTGGGAGTGGGAAGTCAGTGCATCCCAACGGCGCAAGTGCGGCCAGATCAGGCCAGTGTGGGGGCGCCCCCCAGTGGACGGGGACCCAAAAAGGACGCCAACCTGCCTCTGTGGAAAGAGATTCTTCACTGTTTCAGAGCCTGTCACACAGGGCTGCTGCGTGTGTGATCCTTTCTGCTACTTCCTTTAGTGCTTGCAGCCCCTCCAGTCTCCCTTCCCCCAGAAAGTTCCTCCCTGACCCAAGAGGTCCCCTCCTTTCCTCTTTCACCGCAGAGGAGCCGCACTGATGGGACGATGGGATGATGGGACAGGGAAGGTGGCATCAGCCCTCTCCACCTGGGTGTCTAGTGGGTCTCCCTAATTAACATAACAAAACCTAGTTCCTGATGCCCCTCCCCAAGCCTGCTCCCCTTACAGCATTCCAACTCAGGAATAGCATCTCCATCCTCCCAGAACACTGATCATTCCTGAGGCTTTTCTTCTCTCCCACCGCAAATCTGATCTGTTAGGAAACCCTATTAACTTGATCTTCAAAATATAGCCACATTCTGCCTGCCTCTACCTTACCCGCAGACTGACTGTCTTCCCCAACAGCCAGAGGGATCCTTAGTTAAAACTAAGTCAGGTCCTGTCCCTCCTCTGCTCCATACCTTCTATGGCTCCCACCTCACTAGAGTGACTGGGGCACCCCAACCTGTTAGCATCCCCCCCCCACTCCAGGTCCCTTCCCAGCTCTTCCCCCACCCTACCCATTTCTCATTTCTCCAGCCCCTCAGGGCCAGGAGATGGAAAGACCCAATCTCCCCCATGCAAGCTCAGGGGCCCCTGCATCCCAGAGACCTGGGGAAGTGAGAGCCAGCAGCCTTAGAGGAGGGCCCATCCTTCTCTCTTTGTCCAGGAGAATTATTATGATGCAGCCAGCAGCGCAGCTTCAGCCTAGGAGAGGGGCTTTCATTTCCCAAGGCCTGAGCTGGGGGTGGAGGAGATTGCTCACAGATAGGGAGACACCAACTGCTGCCAGGGCTGCTACCTCATTCCTGCTCCTAGGCAGCCAGCCAAGCTCCTTAACCCTTGATGGAGCTGGAGACTGGGAGGCAGCCAGCAGGTGGGCCTTGCTGGGTGAGGCTGGTGTTGGGTGAGGGGCTCGTTAGTCGCTTTATTGATAAATACTTCTTTTCATCCATGATTACTGAGCATGAGCTTAGTCCTTCCTCTGCAGTACCTTATTCAATCCACCCCTATCCCTGGGAAGTTGTGACTGTCATCATCCCCACTTTATAGATGAGAACGTGGAGGCCCAGAGACCAAAGTCACTTGCCCACAGTGTCAAGGCTTAGAGGGAGGGGGAACGCAGGGAGAAGCAGGTTTCAGTTTTTGAAGGGAGATTTACTTGCCAGTTCCGGGTGAGGGCTGGAAGTGGCCTCAGTAACTGGGGCCTCGGATTTACTAGTATTTCGAATTTTCCTGAGCCCCCCTGGGCTCTCAGCAGTGAGGCCCCATCCTCTCTTGGGCAAGTACTCTGCTGTCTTCCGCCTCAGTTCGCTCCTATCACTAAATAACTGGCTGTGTTATGGACCTCCTGCTTCTCATCCACTTGTGCTGTGTGTTTAAGACCTGTGTACTGTGTGCATGCAGCTTGGCCCACTGCTTCTCACTGTTCTTCTCTCATTAAATCCATATAGTTCTAATAGTGTGTCTATGGATTCTTGGTTGATTTTTCTAGATGGAAATTTTATCACTTTCTTCCACATCCTTTTATCTCTCTGCTGCGGACTGAACATTTGTGTGTGTTCCCATCCCCAGGTTCCTTGGCTGAAGCCCTAACTCTGCCCCCGCCCCCCCCCCTCCTGCCCCCATGTGATGGCATTTGGAGGTGAAGTCTTTGGGGGGTGATCAGGTTTAGATGCTGTCACAAGGGTGGAGCCCTCATGATGAGATTGGTACCCTTCTAAGAGGAAGAAGAGACAGAGCTCTGTGAGCATACACCAAGGTAAGCTGTATCAGGAGGAAGGCCATGCCCAGGAAGAGAGTCCTTACCAAAGCCCAACCATGCTGGCACTCGGACCTTAATCTCCCAGGCTCCCGGCAGCGAGAAATAAGTTTCTGTTGCTTAACTACCCAGTCTATGGCAGTTTGGGATAGCAGACTGAATTCACCAAAATGCTCTTATTTCTTTTTCTTTCCATACAGTGTTCAGGATTTCCAATATAATTTGGATAGTGGTGTTGACAATAGTACCCTTGTCTTGTTCCTAACTTTAGGGGAATGCATTTAAAGTGTTTCCATTAAGAAAAATGTTTGCTTCAGAGTATTTTGGTTGCTGTTGTTAATACTCACCCAAAGATATTTTTCCATTGATTTTTAGAGAGAGTGGAAGGAAAGAAGGGAGAGAGAAAGAGAGAGGAAAAGGGAGAGGGGGAGGGGGAGAGGGAGGGAGAAGGGGAGGGGGAGGGAGAAAGAAACATCGATGTGAGAAAGACACATCGATTGGTTGCCTTTTGCACATACTTGACCAGGGCCGTGGATGGAACCTGTAACCCAGGTAGGTGCCCTTGACTGGACTTGAACCCCTGACCCCTCAGTACATGGGCCAACACTCTAACCACTTAGCAACATGGACCAAGGCAAGGGTTTTTTTTTTGTGTGTGTGTTTTTTGGTAAAATATAAATGAACATAAGGATGCCATCTTAAGGATTTTAAGTACCGTTAACTGGTATTAAATACATTCACATTGTTCTGCAACCACTACAAACATCTATCCACATAAATATTTTAATTTTGTAAAATTAAAACTCTATACCCATTAAACAATTTCTCTCTTCCCACCAGTCCCTGGCAACTACCATTCTACTTTCTGTCTCTGATTTTGATTTCTCTAGGGAACCTCATATGAATGGAATCATACAATATTTATCTTTTTGTCAGTGGCTCATTTTACTCAGCTTAATGTCCTCAAGGTTAATCCATGTTATAGTACATTGCAGAATTTTATTACTTTTTAAGGCTGAATATATTCCATTGAATGTATAGACCATATTTTGATTATCTATTCCTCTGCCAATGGACACAGGTTGCTGCCATGTTTTAGCTATCCTCCTATATAATAAAAGCCAAATATGCTAAGTGTCTGGTCAACTGGTTGGCTGTTCAACCAATCAAAGTGTAATATGCTAATGATAGGCTAAGGCTGCTCAACTGCTTGCTATGACATGCACTGACCACCAGGGGGCAGATAGTCAACTGGTAGGTTAGCTTGCTGCTGGGGTCTAGCAGATTGGGACTGAGTAGGATGGGCCGGACACCTCCTGGAGCCCTCCCGTGGTCTCTCCCCGACTGGCCAACCTCCGGTGTCACTCCTTGGCCCCGATTGTGCACCGGTGGGGTCCCTTGGCCTGGCCTGTGCCCTCTTGCAATCCGGGACCCCTCGGGGGATGTCAGAGAGCCGGTTTCAGCCTGATCCCACAGGCCAGGCCGAGGGACCCCACTCATGCACAAATTCGTGCACCAGGCCTCTAGTCTATAATAATAAAAGCGTAATATGCTAATTAGACCAGACATCCTTCCAGACATCCTTCCTTCCAGACAAAGCCTCAGTGGGTGGGGGCTGAGGCCCCTGGCCATGGTGGCAGGCAGGAGCAGGGCCAAGGCCTTTGCATGAATTTTGTGCATTGGACCTCTAGTTGTAATGCTGCTATGAACATGGGTGTACAAATATCTCTTCGAGAACTTGCCTTCAATTCTTTTGGATGCCTAGAAGTAAGATTGCTGGCTCATATAGTAATTTTATTTTTAATTATTTGAAGAACCCCCATACTGGTTTCCACAGCAGTTTACTATTCCCAGCAATAGTGCACAAGGATTCCATTGTCTCCACATCCTCACCAACACTTGCTGTTTTCTGTTTGATAGTAGCTATCCTAATGGGTGTGAGATGGTAACTCATTATAATTTTGATTTACATTTCTCTACTGACTACTGACATTGAGCCTTTTTTCATGTGTTTATTGGCCATTTGTATATCTTCTTTGGAAAAATGACTATTCAAATCCTTTGCCCAGTTTTGCATTAAGCTGTTTTAGAAGTTCTCTATATATTCTGGCTATTAATCCCTTATCAGCATATGATTTTCAAATATGTTTGCCCATTCTGTGGGCTACCTTTTTATTCCTTGGAGAGTGTCTTCTAATGCACACATTTCTAAAATTTTCATGAAATCCAATTTGTCTATTTTTTCTTTTGTAGCCTGTGCCTTTGTGTCATATCCATTAAATCACTGCCAAATCCAATGTCACAATGCTTTTGTCCTGTTTTCTTCAAAGAGTTTCATTGTTTTAGGTCTTACATTTGGTTCTTGATGCATTTGAAGTTAATTTTCGTATGTGGTGTTTTGTATGTGGTATCATTCTTTTACCTGTGGAAATCTAGTACTTTACCAGACCTCACGAAGCCACACCCTAAACATGTGCAGTTTAGCATGCAGCCGAAGACTCAAGGAGATCTCTATGCAAATTTTGAGTTCTCTCTGCATAGCTCCCTCTTCTCTGATGCTCTGCGTCACAAATTCTATTCACCGTTGTCTCTCCAAACTCCAATCTGTCTCCCAGCTCAGCAATACTCCATACTGTGCTTGAACTCTCCTTCTCCATATCATGATCCAGAAAGCATGTCTGGCAGAAAGCTGGAGGGATTATAGAACACACTCTGTTTCTCTTTCCTGGTGTTTGTGTCAGGAGGACACTCCAGTCTCAGTTACCCCGATGTGTCTGGAAGCAAAATTCAGTCCATATCTTTCTTGCTTGATAACATCTTGTTCCTTGCTTATGTTTTCAGATCCTTCTGTTTATTTAAACACTGAAAACATTCACTTTACATTGTGCCTGACAATTCCAATATCCAAAGTCTTGCATGTCTAATTTAATATTTGATATCTGTTTTCATTCACTTTGATGTGCCTTTTTCAATTTTGGATTGTGAGCTAATATTCAACTGGGTTCTCTCTGTGGGAATCCTATGAGGTCTGGGTTGAGAGTAAACATCTTCAGAGAAGATTTGTGTCTGCTTCTGTCAGGTCTCTCCCTGGCTTTCCCAGACCTCGGAGGCAGCATATACATGTAAATCCAGTATGCACAGGCTGACTAGACAGAGGTGGACCTTGCTTCCCCTTCCTTCTAATTCTATGTGTCCTTGTGCTCAGAAGGGGAGGACGGGAGAGTGGTAAGACGCCCAGGACCCCTAAGTATCAGGCTTAAGAACATAGTACGTCATTTCAAATCCATTACCAGGGGACAAATGTATAATCAAAAAAAAAAAAAAAAGCCTTTCAATGATACAAATGATGGGGGCAGGTGTGGAGCGGAGAGGGTTAATGGGGGGGGGGGGGCGGGAGGAGGACATCTATAACACTTTCAACAATAAAGATAAATTTTAAACAATTAAACCTTAAAAATTCAGATTTAAAAAGCATCTATTACAAAGGGAGCACAAGTAATCAAGTATAGAGCATGTCACTGAACGCCACCCACAGCTCAGGGCATGAAGTCTCTCTTCCAGGCCTGGAGACCAAGGCAGACCCTCCGGGGTCCTCACCCTGCTCCTGGGAAGAGCCACAGACAAGCAGGGGGCCAGAGCAGGTGTGCTGTCTGTGCCTCTCAGGTGCCACCAGGGAGGCATCAGCACACCCATGGGCTGCCATCTCTGGGACATTGATGCTGGTAAGTCTTCTTCAGGCCTGTTAGCTTGGGTCATAAGGGTGGGCTAAATGGGCCACAGGGGCTCTGGCTTTCCAGGTGCCACCAAAGGGTTCCTGGATGTGGCCTGTCACTGCCTCTTCTGTCCTACTCCAGGGCCCTCTCCCTCTTTTTCCTCCTGCCTTTTATTCTCCTTCCTCCCTCATTTCCTCTTCCCTCCCACCTCCCATTCAGCTCCCTCTCCCCCAACACTCCCTCCTGGGCTCTCCCTTCTTATCATCTCTCTCCTGTCTCTCCCTTAGTTTGGTCTCCCTCTGTTCTGCATTTTTCTTCCTGTCTTCCCTCTCCCTCTTCTCTCACAACCCTGTTTTCCACTTGGGCCAGAACCTGAGCCATTCCCAACCAGTGAAGGGGAGGAGGGCATAGTTTAGTCCCATCCCAGACCTCCCATGGTAACGTCTCATTTGGCTTGGCCCCCTGGTCAGGTTTGTTTCCTTGGGAGCGGGAGAATCCAGGCTGCTTCACTGGTCACAGAAGCAGCTCTGGGTCAGAGCACCCTAGTTTCCAAGGACTGGACCTAGAACTGAGCTGCTGGGGGCCTCTGGCCTTGTAGAGCCAGCCTAGCCCATGGCCTCATCCAGATGCTGGAGGCATGCTTGTTTATTACATAGAGGCTCAGAGAAAAGGGGTGGGGGTGGGGGTGGGGGGAGGCAGGGCAGGTGGGCAAGGGAGGAGCCTCATCCAGGCCTGGCACTCTGGTGGTCAAGGGGCCTGCATTACTTCTTGGAGGCCGGTTTCTTCCAAGAGTTCATCTTCTTACTGTCCCTCCTGCCTTGGATGAGAGGATGCAGATTCATCCTAAAAATCAAAATAGAGAGAAGCAAATGCTGGGAAATGGGTGGAGAGGGCTGGTCTGGACAGCACTTGATCCCTGTGCTGGCCTGGGCCAAGGTGAGCATGGCCTCCACCTTGCACAGCTGAGGTCCTCTTGGCATCGCTCCAACCTGGGATTCCAGTGCACCTGTGACTTTTCTAGGTGCTCACGGTTATGCTTTTCTATTTTCATGAGAAGTGTGCGATTTTTCACGCTCTTGCAGGACACATGATTCGCTTCACAGTGAATACGGCCAAGTCAGTGGACTTGACAAGTCTAGGAAGTTTATGCAGGAAGACAGCCTGCGGTCTCCACCCTTCTCAGACAGACAGATGGGTCTGGGGTGTGGGGTTTCACCACAAGCTTAAAGGCTTCAATCTCCGCCAACCAGATCAGGGAGAGCAACTGGGCAGTATGTTGATAAAAGAGGTCAGAGGTCAGAGATTGTTGGAGATGTGACTCCCCAAGGTCATTTAGCCCCCTGTGGCCTCTGGGAGTTATGCCTATTCTGCCAACCACAAGAGGGCCCCTCAGCCCCCGGGCTGGGAAACCACCTACTTCTTCTCATGTTCAGGGAAATAGTCCTCCATCTTGTCCCCTACGGTCAACGAGGAGATGCTTCCTTGGATGTCTTCCAAAATTGTTCTCTTGTCTGAGTCAGTGTCATCCAGGCTCAGGAAGGAGGGTAAAACGCTGCTGTGGAGGCAGGAAGGGGAGGGCAGTGCTCAGTGGAGGCCCAGTCAGAGGGGGCCCAGAGCTGGGGGTGTCTGGGCAAGCAGCCCTCACTCAGAGCTGCACCCCAATGTTCCAGTTCCTAGAGAGAGAAGGGCGCAGGTGCTTCTCCAGAGGAAGGGTGAAGGGAGACCTGACCCCTGGGGACCCAGAGGTTCACTGGGGTTGGCTTCCCTGGCTTCTTTTTCAGATTGGAATTGCCCTAACTCCATGCCCACGATACCTGTACACACAGCCTGACCATCAAACGAGCAAAGGAGAGAACAGGAAGCCAAGAAAATAAGTCATCATGTACAATGTTATGGATTGTATCCCCCAAAATTCATATACAGGAGTCCTAACCCCTAGTACCCCAAGATGTAGGAAATAGGGTCACTGCGGATGTAGTGAGCTAGAAGTCATACTAGAGTAGGGTGGGCCTCAATCTAATATACCTGGTGTCTTTATTAAAAAGGGACATGTGGACACAGACATGCACATAGGGGAACACCATGTGAAGATGAGTGGTGCTGTCCTGGCTGGTTTGGCTCAGTGGTTGGAATGTTTGCCTGTAGACTAAGGGGTCATGGGTTCAATTCCTGGTCAAGGGCACGTACTTCAGTTTCAGGTTTGATATCCAACCCCAGTTGGGGCACATGGGGGAGGCAATCAGTTGATGTCTCTTTCTCACATTCATGTTTCCCTCCCTCCTTCCCACCTTCCCTCCCTCTTTCATTCCTCCCTCCTTCCTCCCTTCCACTCTCTAAGGATCAATGAAAAAAATATCTTTGGGTGAGGATTAAAAAAATAAATAAATAAAAGATGAGTGGTGCAGCCACAGCCTAGGAATGCCCAGCGCTTGGAGGGCTGAACTAGATCCTTCCTAGCACCCTCAGAGGGAGCCTGCCCTGCCCATACCTGCATCTCAGACTTCTGGCCTCCTGAACCGCAAGTCAATACATTTCAGTTTGTGGAAGTGTCACACTGCTCTAGGAAACTAATGAATATGTGTGGTCACTCCTCACCTTTGCACCACAGCTCAAGGCTTTCCAGCCATTCACTGTATGCAAACACTGTTCCGGTTACAAGATGGTTTTGAGCATCGAAGTGGCCCTAGGGGACAGGAAGTGCAGGGTGGCACCCTCGGGGACAGGAAGTGCAGGGTGCCCATTTTATCGACAAGAGCAGAGAGGGGAGCTGGAGGGCACATAGTAGGTTCATGGCAGAGGCAGGACCAGCCTTTTCATTTATTGTTTCTTCATATTTTTTGAGCCCTTGCTATGCGACTAGATTAAGGGAAAAGCAGTTCAGAGATAAGAGACAAAGGGAGAAGAGAGAGGGGGGTCTCCTCTATCATTGCAAGGGCCCCCCAAAAATAAAAAATGGAATGCTACCAAAACGGGGTCACAGAATCTGGGTATATTCACAATGTTAGCATTTAGTAAACTAACGTCTCCCTTCACAGCTCACCCTGCCGCCCTGCCCGATGGGGAGCACACACACAAAGTCCAAGTGACTTCACAACACTGCAATGGGGTGCAAGAAGAGATTAACCAAAAAAATTTATATACACGAGATTAAAAATGGTGGCAGAGTAGGAGGATGCTGCATGGCCATGCTTCCAGGAACAAGCTGGAATTACAACTGAAATACGAGAAGGCTTCCTGAATAATCAACGGAAAACTCACAGGAGAGAACCCTGATACCCAAGGACTGAAGTTGGAGCCGGCATAGAGACTGGTAGGAGAAGCAGAGACATGACCAACAGAGGGGAAATGAAGTCCCAGAGAGTTATCTCAGCTGGTGGTGGAGGGGTGGGAGGTGCCACTGAGAATTCTGGGATCTAATCCCAGAGCTGGGCTCCCCAGCAGAGAGCACCAAAGTTGAGGAAGGTATCCACATAGCATCAAGCTGTGGAAAGCAGTGGGGTGCTGTCGGCCAGGGAGTGGCAGCTGGGAGTTCAGGCACCCTCTTAAAGGGCCAAGGCACAAACATTTCCTGTGGAGCCACCCACCTTGTGCTCTGGTAGAGGGAGGGCGAAGTGGACTGGAGCTGTGAGAACAAAGGCCAGCACTGTGGACTCGGACTCGGGGGATAGAGCTCAGAAGGCAGACACCCCAAGTTTCCTCAGCTCAGTCATTCCCTCACACAGCCATACAGACATATGCCTTCCCTGGGGGGAAGACAGTTGACACATCCTATTGGAAAACACATTGCCCTGAGGCCGCTTAAGACATTAAAAGTAACAATTTGAAGGAGTAACAGCTGTTTGTGTACCCCGCCCCCATCCAAGGAACAGCAGCCTCCTGTTCGCCACACCCTCTGTCTGAGGAACAGCAGATGTGTGTGAAGCCTCCCAACACCAGCCAGAGGAGCCACCACAGCAGTGAACAGCACCCACCACTGGAGCTGCTCCCAACTGAGGAGCAGCTGCTACCACAACTGCCCGAGGAGCAACTGCAGCCCCAGGAGCCACTGCCACCCAGGGAGCAGCCACTGAACAACTCAACATCTAGATATGTCGGTGAGATCAAACATGGGTAGACAAAGAAACCCCCAAAGGAAAGAAAAGGAGGACTCGCCAGAAAAGCAGCTAAGTGAAACCGAGGCATGCAGCATGACAGAAAAAGAATTTAGATTAAGGGTTCTAGAATGCATAAACCGGATGGAGGAAAAAATCAACAATTTATGCAAGAAGCAAGAAGAAACAGATGAAAAAATCAGTAAGTTATGTAAGAACCAAGAAGAAATGAAGAGTGATATAGCTGCAATAAAAAACATCATTGAGGAGAAACCAAGATGGCGGCATAGGTAAACACTGGAGATTGCTGCCTCACACAACCACTTCAAAAATACAACTAAAAGACATAACGGACATCATCCAGAACCACAGGAAGGCTGGATGAGTGGAATTTCTACAACTAGAAGGAAAGAGAAAAGCATACCAAGACTCAGAGGAGGTGCGGTGCTGAAGTAAATACAAAGGTGCAGAGGTGCATGCGGAGAGGGCTGGTGGCTGAGGACACAATTGTCTTTTTCAATCGGGAGGGAGTCTCAGGCTCTGAGCTCCAGTTCTGGGTGAGTCTCTGGGAACCCAGACTCATACGGGAGAAACGGGACTGTCTGGCATCTGTCGGAATTCAAGGGCAGCTTTCTCTCGGAGGCACTCTTGGCGATTGCCAGGACCTCTGAAGGCAGGACTGAGAGCAGCCATAGTGCTGGCTCACTCGGCCCGCCCTATTGATCCCCTGGGACCCCGCCCCGCCCAAGCCGTGAATGGAGGCTTTTGCATATGAAAGGCCCGGCCCTTTGTAACCTGAAAATAACTTAACAAACTGCAGCTGCCCCAAGGCCCCAGGGCAACTTGCATTGCTTTACAGCTGGCTTCTGCTGGGTAGCCTCAGGCAAAGGCTAGATTAGCACCTCCTTAGATCCAAGAGCCAGTGTACCCAGTGGTCAGAGTGGGACCATCCAATTACAACTCCTCAGATCTATAAGGGACACACTCAGGGGGCAGACTCAGTGAGCACCAAAGCCCCACTGAAGCAAGTCTTGCCCCATAAGGGTGTCTTCAGCACAGAAGTTCTCCCACCGTAGACACAGTTGATTCTCACAGCCAATTGGCCTGGAGGTCAAATCCTCCCAGTGTTACTTACAACAATCAAGGCTTAACTACAACAAGACTGTGCATAAAGCCCATAAAGGGGTGCACCAAGAGCGTCTACCTCAGGTAATTGGGACACTTAGCACAGAAAGCCACTCTATCAACACAGCGAAGCATAAAAAATGCCGAGACAAAGAAACAGGACACAAATGACAGAAATGGAGGAAAGCAAACTACTGGATATAGAGTTCAAAACCACACTTTTTAGGTTTTTCAAGAATTTTCTAGAAACCACCGATAAATGTAGTGAGATCCTCAAGAAATCTAATGAGACCCTCGATGTTGTGATAAAGGACCAACTAGAAATTAAGCATACACTGACTGAAATAAAGAATATTATACAGACTCCCAATAGCAGACCAGAGGATCGCAAGAATCAAGTCAAAGATTTGAAATATGAAGAAGCAAAAAACACCCAACCGGAAAAGCAAAATGAAAAAAGAATCCAAAAATATGAAGATAGTGTAATGAGCCTCTGGGACAACTTCAAGTGTACCAACATCCGAATTATAGGGGTGCCAGAAGAAGAGAGAGAGCAAGATATTGAAAACCTATTTGAAGAAATAATGACAGAAAACTTCCCCTACCTGGGGAAAGAAATATAGACTTCCAAGTCCAGGAAGCACATAGAACCCCAAACAAAAGGAATCCAAAGAGGACCACACCAAGACACATCATAATTAAAATGCCAAGAGCAAAAGACAAAGAGAGTATCCTAAAAGCAGCAAGAGAAAAACAGTCAGTTACCTACAAGGGAGTACCCATACGACTGTCGGCTGATTTCTCAACAGAAACTTTGCAGGCCAGAAGGGAGTGGCAAGAAATATTCAAAGTGATGAATACCAAGAACCTACAACCAAGATTACTTTATCCAGCAAAGCTATCATTCAGAACTGAAGGTCAGATAAAGAGCTTCACAGATAAGGAAAAGCTAAAGGAGTTCATCACTACCAAACCAGTATTATATGAAATGCTGAAAGGTATCCTTTAAGAAGAGGAATAAGAAGAAAAAGGTAAAGATACAAATTATGAACAACAAATACACATCTATCAACAAGTGAATCTAAAAATCAAGTGAATAAATAATCTGATGAACAGTATGAACTGGCGATTATAATAGAATCAGGGACATAGAAAGGGAATGGACTGACTATTCTTGGGGGGGGGGCAAGGGGTGTGGGGGTGCGGGAAGAGATTGGACAATAATCGTGCACCTATGGATGAGGACAGTGGGTGGTGAGTGAGGGCGGAGGGTGGGGTGGGAACTGGGTGGAGAGGAGTTATGGTGGGAAAAAAGAGGAACCAATGTAATAATCTGAAC